TGCGCCCTCGCGCTCGCTGCCGCTGCCGGCGCTGCCCCATCAGCAGTAACAGTCTGATTAATTCGCTTCCAGCAGGGAGCTGATGGGGCCGATGATGGAGGCGCTGCACCAGGCGCGCCGAAATTGATAGTTTTTCACAGTTACAAATGAGGAGCCTCCTCAGCTGCAAATGGCGCCGGCACAGTCGGACTCCGGTAATGATCATAAAGAGGCTCTCTTTAAACTGCGAAAGCCCCTGGGACCGCGCGGGGGGGCGGCTGCCGCGCTAATGAGAACGACAAGGGGGCGAGCAGGCATGGAAATGGCTCCTCCACTCTTGATGTGCATTTAACTGCTTTTTTAGTGCGGCGGCGGCAGAGCCCGGCACGCCGGAGTGATGAATGCAGCACAAAAGCATTTATTTTCCAATTCGGCAAAGTGGCTACGTTGGGAAATGTATGAATTATTTTAATTCACTCAACTGTCCTGAAACAGCAGAGACGGGGCGCGCGCGAGGCGGGAGGAGGGGGCTGGCACCGCCCCAGTCTGTGCACCAGGCGCATGTCAGTCGTGCTCGGCCGCTGTCCCGCCACCCGCCCTGCGTGCCCCGCGGCGGGGGAGGTCCTGCCGGAAAGTCTCTCTGCCCCCTCTCTAGCGCGGGAACCCCCAGGGCCAGACTCTGCATTGCTCCTTGCCGGTGCCGGCAGCAAACCGGGGCCGCACACGCTACTTACAGGGGTTCGGGCAGGCGCCGGGGCCAGCCACGGCCTCGCTCCACTGGTCAGCGCTGGAGACGGAGTAGGAGCGCTGGTGCATGCCGTCCGGCTTGGAGCTGAAGCCCACCAGGTTGATGCCACTGATGGAGCGCTCCGAGTGCAGGGAGGTGCTGCTGGTCGAGTGCGGGGCACCTGCGGGAGAGGGACACGCTCAGCCGGCACCAGCGCCACCGCCGCAGCCCCCCACCTGCCCACCTTTGACTCGTCCTGCTGTCACCTGGCTGAGGAGGCCCAGCCACCGGCCACACACAGTGTCCCCGAGAACAGGGCCGGCCCCAGCACCCCTGCCAGGTGCCCAGCATGCACACGCATGCCCCCCAGCACCTGCCACTGGGCACCTGGACACGCGTACAGCCCCTGACAGCTGCCACTGGGCACCCGGACATGCGCACAGCCCCCAGCACCCACTGCTGGGCACCTGGATATGCACGCAGTCCCTGGCACCCGGACACGCACACAGCTCCCAGCACTGCCCATGCGGCACGTGACGCACACAACCCCAGCACTGCTCCTGCGGGCACCTGGACACAAAAACAACCCCCTGTACCACCCAGCCACACACCTGGACACATACACAACCCCCAACCCCGCCCAGGTGGGCACCTGGACACATGTCCAGCCCTCAACCAGGCACCCAGACACGCACAACCCCAGCACTGCTCAGCCGGGCACCCTGCCCCGCTCCCCTCGCAGGGCACCCCCAGTCCGCCCGCCAGGCCCCTGCACGCTGCTGCCCCTGCTTGTGAGCGGCTGCAGCCGGGGGCCACGTGCTGCGGGAGGCGGAGGGGGGCTGGCACAGCTCCTGGGAGCAACCCGCCAACTGGGCTGCATTCAGGGACCGAGGCCCAGGGCTGGGGCCAGGCTCTCCTTTTTCAGCACAGCGCGAAATCGGTGAGCGCAAGAGCCCGAGAGGTGCTCTGAGCAGGAGGTGTGAGCATGCATGCATGCATGGCCCTCCAGGCCAGAGACCCCGTACCTCCCCCAGGCCAGGGCGGGAGGCAGGAAGCCTGGGGCGCCGGGCACCATCCTTGTTCTCCAGCTGAAGCTGCTTTTCATTTTTCTCAAACCCCGCCGGCCCCACAGGGCCCCCCACGCCGCGACCAGTGTCCTGCACTGCCCGCGCAATGCGCGCATCTCTGGCCCCGGCTGCAACAGAGGCTGCAGCTGCATGCCCGGGGCCGGGAGCAACGACAGGCTCCCCCTGCCCTGGGCTCTGGGACGCGGGCGTCAGCGGAGGAAGGGCCTGGGCAGCGCAGCCCGCGACACTCATCGCACGGAGCTGCCAGACTCCCCACCCCACCGATCGGCTGTCCCAGGCTGCCTCTCCCATGACCTCTGGGCCTGACCTCCGCCAGGACCCCGGGCGAGCCCCCGGGACCCACCGACCGGCGCGTGTGCAGGGAGCCCGGCTGCCGCAGGCTCCCCCTCCCTCCCTCCCCGCGCTCAGCGCCACAGAAACACGTGTAAAACCATGACACTGACTTTGCCTCTAATTAGCCCTTAATTTACAAGACACACTCGGAAGGGTAATTAGCTGGCGCTCTGCTCCTGACTGCCGCATCCATCTCCACTCGCCTCCGTACGGGAGGGAAGCCGGCTGCCGCCCGAGCAGGGGGCTGCTCTCCTGGGACGGGGAGAGGCAGGGTGCTGGTGGTGCTCAGCACCCCGAGCATCCATCCATCCACCCACCCATCTGCCCCACGGCGCTCTGGGAGTCGGGCTCCCGCAGGGCCACGGCCTGAGATGAGCCCCCACCCAGAGCAAGGCGCAGGGCAGACGAGTCACCTCCCCCCCAAAGACCCCAGTGGGGGCGTGGGGGCTCCCACGACCCAGGGGGGGTGCTGCGTCCTCAGCCCACGCCCCAGTTCCCAGCTGGGCAGAACCAGCGCCTGCATCAGCAAGGGGGGTCGCGTGCTCCGCAGCGGGGTCCCCGCGCCCCACAGCCGGCCCTGCTCCTTCCAGGCAACACAAGGAGGGAGCCACGGGGAGCTGGGGGCTGCAGCCCGGGATGGAGCTGGGCTCGGGAAGGGGAGGCTGGGGCTGCTCTTCGGTCCTGGCCTGGAAGCGATCAACTGGCCCCTGGGCCGTGAGGGGACGGGGGCTGCTACCCATGCTGCATGCCTGCCTTGCCCTGGACACGCTGGCCCCGAACCACCCCTCCCGCAGACGGGCTGGGGGACGCGGCTGGAGGCTTCCGGGAAGGGCAAGGGGTTCCTCAAGGACCTGGGTCACCACCTGCTTGGCCCCTGCCGCGAGCCTGCTGCCCCAGGGCCGGGAGGGAGGCACCGTCCGGCTGCAAGAGGACCAGGCTGCGGCAGGTGGAGCGGGCGAGATGAGACCCAGGTGCGAGGCCAGGAAAGCAGCGCGGCTGCACCACGCCGGGAACGGGACGAAGGGGGAAGGCCGGACTGGAGAACGTGTGCGCGCCCCACCGTGCTGCCGCTGCGGGAAAGGTGCTGGGGGAGACGTGGGTCAGGCCATCCGGGACCCTGCCTGCAGATCCAGCGTCCCGGCAGGTGGACGGCTGCTCTCGTCCTCTGGGAACTCCCCACGGGGCTCAACACGGTCCCCTGGGACGACCGTCTCTCACCTGGCAGAGGTGGCCGGGGTCTGAGGTCCCACGTCTGTCTGGAAAGGGTGCGAGCCGCATGCCAGGCACAGGGGAAACACCCCGCACAGCTCAGCCCCTTCTTGTGGGGGCTCGGGGCCTGCCAGCCCTGCTCAGTGCGGTGACGCAGGCAGGGGACAGGATTGGGGTGACATTAAAGACATCCCTGTCCGTGCAATACTGGATGCTGACTCCAGATGGAAGTCTATCAGCAACGAGATGCAGAGTAACTATGATAGAGATGGAAAAGCGTGTTGGTGCAAACACACCTCCTTGCTCGACTCCAGTTCGACTAGTGAGGGGGTCCGTTTCCAAGCCATTGCTTAGGGCAGCTGCTGTCATGCCGCCGTGAAGAAGTCTGATGATGGTAACAGATTTTGGCGGGCATCCAGATCTCATCAGGATCTTCCATAAGGCGCCTCTATTGATTGAAGCAAAGGCCTTCGTCGGGTCAATGAAGGCCATGTAAAGATCTCAGCGTTGCCGGTGGCAGCTGTCTAGCAATAAAGATCATATCTATTGTCCCTCCGAGCGGTCCGAAACCACCCTGGGACTCGGGCAGACTCTCCTCAGCGAGGAAGTGAGTCTATTGAGGAGAACGGGGGCAAGGACCTTCCCAGCTACGGACAGGCACGCAATGCCACGATAACCGCTGCGATCCGGTCCACATCCTTTCTCGAATACAGCAACAGCTCTGGCACCGCTCGAGTCGCTGGGGGTCTGCTCGTGGATTTGGATTTGAATAGGACGGTTTGGATAGGGGTGATGCTGCCTCAGGCAGGGTCCGGACTAGATGCGATCTCTGGAGGTCCCGTCCAGCCCCACGGCTCTAGGACTCTACGACTCCGTTCCCAGATTTGCACAAGGATGATGTGTAGTTGCCAAGAGCTTTTTTCCACCTCGTGTACAAATTGCAGCAGGCGATCCATCAGGACCACGTGCCTTGTTGTTCTTCACCTGCTCAGTGGCTTTCAAGGCCTCTGGAGACGCTGGTGGACGGCAAGGTAGTCCCTAATGGGGTGGTGTGGAAGGGCTTCAGATCTTGGTTCAGGAGCTCGTGCAAGTGCTGCTTCCACCGTGCGTTGATGGTGGAGTCGCCTTTAAAGTGCTGTCCCACCCTGGGACGTCGGCGGGGCGGCTCCTGGTGTGCTTGGCCTGCAGGCAGCTCTGGCCATGCTACAGAAACTACACCCTGTGGCTGCTGGCAAACTTTTGGATCTCTTTTGCTTTGTCCCCCCCACCACATGTTCGTTTGCTCTCGAGTTTTCCGCCGGTCTCAGCTTTAATGTAGCAACAGCTGTCCTGCTTCTGTTGGGAGCCGACACCGTTCTGCCAACGAAAGCTTGAGTTTCTGTATCGTTCCCCTCAAACCAGTCCTGACGTTTCTCTGGGTAGACGTCTGGAGATTCTTCGCGTGCCTCGTGGATGCCTCGTTTGTGGCTCTCCCCGTGATCAGGGCCTCCTCTGGCACAGAGAAGCTCAACCGTGGGAATCGAATTCGCTGTAGGGCTGGGACGAGCTCCTCCAGGAGCCTAGAAGCAACACAAGACCCTCCCCACAGCTCTCCCTGCAACAGCAAGGTGCGTTTCTGGGACCTGCCCTATCTCACACATAGCAGCAGGCCCCTGTGCACGTGTGCGTGTGTGCAAATACTAGAAAAAGGCACATTAAAGCTGTGCTAAACTCAGACACTCCACAGCACGTCACCCTCCTTCCCCAGGGCTGAGGACGAGAGCACGCACGCACACAACAGATGTTCATTGCACCCTCACGACACCACTAGACGATGCCCTGGTGAGCAGCAGCTACAACGGCCTGGAACACGAGACCTGTTGCATGCGGCCGCAGGTGCTGGAGACGGCCTTCCCCCTCCTCCCCATGCAGAGGGGGACGAGTCTGAGCCATGACGCCTTGGCTCCAGCGGTCTAAGGTCACAGCCCCTTACCCAGAGAGCAAGACTGAGCTCCCCACAGTCCATGGCTTTAGGGTTAGAGACTTGCACCAAGCAATCAGCAACACAGGCTGTTCCAACCCCTGGTTAGGCTGAATGCTACTGCACCGTGTCCAGCATCTGCAGCCACCTGCACAACACGGGCTGGGCGCGCGGGACGCGGCCAAGCCAATGATCTGGATTCCCAGGGGCTGCTCCCAGATGGCATAAAGCTAAATCTCCCCTCCAGGCAGCTTCCTCGGCAGGAAACTCCTCCTGCCCTTCAAACCCAAGCAGCACTTGGGGGAGCAGGTTCCTGGGAACGGTACCTCCAGACTGATCAAGCTGCTCAGGGGTCCATGACAGAGATGCTGCAGCTCCAGGCACAGTCCCAGGTCTGCGGTGCCTGCGGCCCATCCTCGCTGCTGCTGCGTGCAGCGCTTTACATGCGGCTGCCGGAAACGCACACAGGACTGGAAGGGGCTTCGGGGTGCGTAGAGCCCGGTCCCCGACTTACGGGGAGGTCAGAGTCGCTCTGCATCAGTGACCTACCTGCGTATCCCTGCGCTAGCTCATGCAGGGCTAGATCCTACG